ATATACACAATCGGTGTAGTAGCAGTGAGGACAACAGTCACAACGGTGTTGAAGTTCACTATTTACACTAGGCCTAACATTTATATCATGTGATTTATCATCTATATTTATATCAGAGAATTTAACTGTTTCCTGCTTATAATGACTTGACGTTGGAAATACAAATTTTATGTCCTTCATAATTTGCTCGGAGATAATAAGTTTGATAATAATAGCAAAATAATTATTGATAAATACGTAAGTCTATCATTATTTGTGTAATATTGCACTCAGTTATTCTTTATTGTATTATTATAACCGCGGATAACTCTGATTAATTGACAAAATACTTAAAAATTAGCTGTAAAGCATACGGTAGCCTGCCAGGAAATTTCATTAGTGATTTTATGTTATCTCTCTATATCTATCCTGGGCATGGGGTCCAGGGTAAAAGTTGGGTCAGCGAAACACCCTAAACCAAAGGAATTGTGTTTTATGGGTCTAAATTATAAATAATGCTGTAATTACGGTAATTACAAAGGCCTAATGATATTTTGCACAAACATTAGACTGAAATTATATTCGTTGTCATCAACAGTCATTTTACCGAAGTTGTGGCCTAGTTTAGTTCATGAGACTCACATCGCAGAAAAAATAAACAACATTTTCTATATCTACTCAAATGTTCGTTTTGTGCACCTTAGTGAAACATTGTCAAAATGAAAGTTTAATGTTATATAAGAACATGATTTTTAAAAATAAGAATCGTAAATTCTCAATTGCTATAACTTCACTTCATTTTGTTGATTAATTTTCGCGAATCAGATTGTAATTTATAGAAGCACTTAACAAGCTCGTCGTCAAAAGAAACCAGACATTGCGAAGAACCCAAAATTAATAAAATAGTAACTAGCACTAAAAAGCATATGGCACGGTATAGACAGTCTGTGCTCGCAACTAGTATCGGATTGTCGATGCCACTGTAAAGATCAAAGGACTGTGCGCACGCGCTATTTCTGTCCCTCTTATTTGTCAATTTATATTGATAGGTTTGAGTGATAATCTGGAAATGCACGTTGCTACTATTACCAAAGCATTACATACTACACGATAAATATATAATTTGCATGATATTACACTTGGTATTTGACATAATCCTTCATTGGGGATTTTCTCTGGAAAAAAAGCCTAATAATATATTAACGGAATTTGAATCCAAGATTGGTGTATCCCCAGAAATGTTCTTATAGGAAGCTCTATTCTCTAAGTGTTGCATACTTCCTCTTCCCCCTAAACACAATGTTTAGGGCATTTATTCAAAAACATAGGCCAACGGTCTAGTATGTTAAGGCGTCTGCATACAGTAAAAGGTCCTGAGCTCGAATCCCGGTTGGGGCACCTATTTTTTAACTCACAGATTGCTTTTATTTAACGTTTAAAATGTATTTATCAGGCCTATATTTTCAGCATTACCACAACACGGTTTAGAGTTTACCTCTTTCATATCATTACGTACAGTGTTAACGGCTAACTTGATTTATATTATATGTTACTATATATGTCTAGTCGTACCTCCAGATTTATCTGGTTTAACGCCCTCTCGAAGCGCACCATTGTGTAATACAATGTATCTAACGGTTATTTGAAGTCTCTGTGGTCTAATGGTTATGACGCTCGTCTTCACTTCAGCGAGAGGTCGCAGGTTGGAATCCCGTCTACATATTATTACACAATGTATGTAGTTGTATGAAAACATTCGTTGAGAGCTATGCTACACGATGTGCCATCATGTCCTTTATTCGAACACCGTATTTACCTTTAGCTGATGATTCATATATAATTTAACAGTGTTAACGGCTATTTTGTTTTAGTCTCTTATACACATCTAGATGTGTATAAGAGACAGCTATCATCTATATTTATATCAGAGAATTTAACTGTTTCCTGCTTATAATGACTTGACGTTGGAAATACAAATTTTATGTCCTTCATAATTTGCTCGGAGATAATAAGTTTGATAATAATAGCAAAATAATTATTGATAAATACGTAAGTCTGTATAAGAGACAGATATATTATCAGAGTTCCTGATGATGACCGATAGTCGAAAGTACTAGTACAATAAATATTTTATTTTGAGAGAGATACAGAACTTTGTTTGACTTCATATTTTATATATATATATATGTATATATATACATATATATAAAATATGTATATAAATATATATGTATATATATGTGTATATATACATATATATAGGCCTATATATAGTAACATATAATAATCAAGATAGCCGTTAACACTGTTAAATTATACATAGGCCCTATAAATAATCAAAGAAAGGTATTGAATACGGTGTTCGAATAAAGGAGGACGTAATGGTACATCGGTTATGACGCTCGTCTTGACAGCGAGAGGTCGCAGGTTCGAATCCCGTCCCGGAGGCATTTATTACACAATGTATTTATTTACAGGAAAATATTCGCTGAGAGCTATGCTACCCGATGATTGCTACAGCTGAATAAAGTTTCTTTAGGCCTATCAAAACAAATTCAAGTGACATTTGCTCATCTATTTTAAGTTCTTTTAACGGTTCCAGACTTTTGTAAGAAATAAAACTATGGTTGAATAATTACACACAGTATTAAATTACAGCAACACAATGGCCAGTGAATAAAGAACTCCTTAATTCCATAACCAACCATTGCATTGACTGATGTTTCAGAAAAACGAAGTTTAGTTGAAAAGAATAGTGATTTATACCATTTTACCCTCGCATTTAGTTTACTTTATGCTATATTTATAATCTCTCTAAAAACTCATTATCTATAGAGATTAACCAATTCCAACAACATTTCAGCATATAGGCCTACTGTACCATCAAAGCGTCTAAGATTTCCATCATGAAATCTACTTTTTTTCTTTTAATTATTATCAATATGATGAACTTAATCATATCTGCTCACATTCCGACAGTCATGCATTGTACGTTATTATTAACCGGTTTATTTTTTTAAATGTCAGAAATTTCTGGAATGTAAGAAGGTGCAGTCGAAAACAGCCATTAATAGCGTTAATAATTGACAAAAATCAGTTCCAATCAAGTAAATGGGGGCACTAATGATATAGGGCTTATTTACGTTACATGGTGTTTTTTACAGCGATGAGAATGCACGTAACCCTTACATACGTATATCGAAGGCCGCACATTATATCGAAAGGGTGAACCTGAACAAAACCTTAATATAATTTTTGGATAAGGTGCGGGTAGACCTGTTTGTTAATCAACACTTTTTGTAAAACTGGGTCAATATATCTTGTTTTCTGTCCAAACTTTCGTATTATTTATTCAGCAGCGTAGTTCATGTGAACAATTTTCTTTGATATAGTAATTGGAAAGGTGGAAAGTTTGTGAAGATTTGTAACTGAAAACGTCGATGGGAAATTGCAATTTTCTGGTCAACATGAGTTCTGTGTACAGTATAAAAGTATCGCTATCATTCTCTGCCTCTAAATTGGATAAACTTGACTCATTTACGTTAAACGTCTCCTCTTTGTTTGTTTGTAGTTAGGTTTACTTATAGCTTCAGTATAAATACTTGCAGTTTTCAGCCAATACCGTTCTATATTGCTCTAGTTTTGTTTTAATTATTTATTTAATATGATTTATATAACGCACATATCTAGAAAACTGCTCAAGTCGCTCTTCCCCTGGTCATTGGATTTCAGTTTAATTTAAAGTTATTTGTCCAAAATGGAAATTACATTGAGAAAATTCATTGCTAATAAGATTACAATATCAAACATCAATATGAAAATATAAATGAAAATACAGAATTATCAAGTTATAAGTTATAAAATACATACAAATTTAAGAAATACCATATAGTATAGACAATTTAAATACAATATAGACAAATTAGTTGGGAAATTAAAAATTGAGTAAAAATATCATATTACAGTGTAAATTAATGGACCTTTCCGCTAATCCCCGCCCCTTGGATATTGTTGCTGAGGTCCCACAAGGCGACAGTGTTAAAACATACGCAAACACGTGCGTTTGTGGGACAACACGTGTGTTTGTGAGACGCGCGCGTATTCCTAGCGCTGTTCTGATTAGTCAGTTGTTAAGTTTGATTGACACTCCGGAAAGGTCTATTGCACAATGAACCCTAATATATTGAGAATAAAGTAGCAGTATAAAAATATGATATAATACAGGATCAATCATACACAGCGTGTGCATAGTTGGAACATGAAGGAAATTTTTGCTGCTAAACGTCTCATCCGATAGACGGTGCGCTATAACTTGCACTTTAGCCATCCAGCTGAAACATAAAGGGAGCAGCGATGGGAACTGTACCGGGGACCTAGAGATCTTCACGGTTCAGCGGACACACAGGGACTAACCCCCTTTTCTCTTTAAGCCCTTTCCATGTGCCTCATACAAAATTCGTATAATATGCTTTTGGGCTTAACATAGAACTCGGCAACATCTGTAAATAAAATTGCACAACTGGGTACGGTATAATGTAACATGGAGTCATTCAACAAAACAAAAACAAATTAATATTTTAACATTTGCGCGCGCATTCCATAACATGATGGACTGACATCCGACAGGGTAGGCCTACATAAAGTGATGATGGGTTAAACTAAATATACTGGAAATACTAAAATTAGTCAAATCATGACGGCCACTTGCAAAATGTTGTCCTTTTAATATTGCATAACGAGATAAGATGCATATATACATATGACGTACCTAGATAAGTTTAAGCACCTCTCGCAATTACTTTATATATATTTAGTCATTTGTACATACTGTCATGTTTTTGAATCACTCAGCCTATTACTAATTGTGTGTCTTTTAGCTGTGATTCGCCTCCTTTAATTGGCCTGAACTACAGGTAAACATTCGAATTTGTAAGATAAAATGAAGCATAAAGTGTCATTGTTGTGACCCACTGGCAGCTAATTTCAAAAGGTACTGCCGGGTACAAACTTGCTCTATTCATTCGGTCGCTGCAGTCGACCGGTGACTGCAACTTTCTGGTGTTTGATACATTCACGATAGGTACTGTTTAGAGCAATAGAAGGCAATATGGACCTGACGATTCACGGAGTCATTTTAGTGGCTGCTGCAATCTCTGGCGTTGTTGGTCAAGGTAGGGACGGAGCCATATTTCTATTATGCATCCACATTTAGCTAAAACTATTTAGAAATCAACCGACCACTATACTCAGTTGCTTGCAATTATAAACGTAATATTTCTTATTTTGAAAACAAATTGTCCAATGATTTGTTATGTTTACATCAAAATTGATAGAGAAGATTCACAAAACACAACTAAACTCATTAGATGCTATATCACTTCATGCAGTATCTTTGAATCTACTGTACCAGAATAATTACATCGGAATAGATGGAAACCTAATTAATGAATGCAAGTTTTAGGCTTTGGGAAAATGGGATCTGGGGTACGCTAAGTGTTTGGCCGATCGGTAATGTTTCTGCTACTTAATCTGAAAACCTCAGTTCAAACCCAACTAGCGTCGACCGCTCGGCCACCAAATAAGCCTCGCATAAGAGGTAGGAGGGGGAATTAGGTTCATGTGATAATGATGTCCACTATGGCCGCTGGGGGGCCTAGCCAACAATTCTATTTCCTTTGGAATAAAATTGAAATAAAACATGTTTTTAAAAAATCCAGAATCGTATAGACTATTATAGCTTGTTTTTTTTGCATTTTTGCTGTTGACATTATGCTATGCATAGGGCTTATCGATTACAACAATTTAAATAATGGTAATTATAATTGTGGTTTGGCATCCGGAAATGTCATAAGAGGGTTATAAAAGGGAAAAATCTTATATTTTTTCACGTTGAATTCAAACATGCAATAAGGTTAAATTTCAGGATATAAATATACCATAGTAATTTACTGTCAGTATATCTAAATAACGACGTAACGGTTTAATTTAAATGATCAATAAACGTATCTAAATAACGACGTAACGGTTTAATTTAAATGATCAATAAACGTTGATTTTCGTCTCAAACATACCTTTTAAAGAAATTTGCAAATGGCAAATCTCAGAATTTTCGATCAGTGGTATATAAGTATCGACACATTAAGCCCAACTGAATCGCTTAAATGCAGCTGATTGGTCGATGACAATCACTATAGATATCAAGAGATACGAGATTGTACAACAATTTTATGAATGAATTACAAGTTGGTATGTGGAGCCTAAAAATTAAGTTGGTATTGTATTATTACACGCGCGGTTGATGATGATGGGTTGCATCAAAGACGAATGGAATCTTCTTTGTTTTGATTGGCGGGTACCCTTTGTTAGTAAATTTCATACCTGAGTTCTTGGCCTAAGTCTTGCAGAAGTATAGTACGGTATGCTATCTGTAGAAATATGGAAATATATCAGACGATGCCTTTAGACTCTATTATCTGATATAGTCGTATTATTATACTGTAATAATTAGGTCTTAAAAGATAATTGTAACCTTATTTGGATGATTTGTTTGACCAACAATTGCTATGACCGAAAATATAGGGCTGCAGTCATCGAGTTGTGAATTTTGAGCGATCCAGGTCCGATTATTTATCAAACGAGGCGCGATAGACTTGTTTTCGTTAAATCATTGACCCACCTCTTAGAAAACCAGGAATTCGCTGATAATCTGGCGACTTCACAGGTAAACTTGTTAGATGTGTCCACAGTCACGCAATAGTTAACGTCAATTTCCTAATACGGCCCAGTCGATGGGCTTGGCTATGCTAGATGCGATACCAAGATTCTTTTAAAATGTTCATTGTCAGGGGTGTAGTTTAATAGCTTGGTAGTTATGATGCTTGCCTCCAAATTAGAGGATCCTGAATTCAATTTTACAGGATTGTGATAAACGTTCGCTGTTTATACATCAGTTTTATCATATATTTACTTTTTGGATATACTGTTTATGGAGCCATACTCTCTACATCTAACGATTTTTAATTATTTTAATGATTCTGTACCTTAACTTAAATGTTTTGAATGACGCACCACTCAGCAGAGAGTAAAGGTGTCATAGATTCAACGTGATTCTTAAAATACCTTTTCACATTCGTGTTCGAAGTCAAATACTGTATTTATTTCTAGCATATTTATTTCTAGCCGTATCTCCAGATTTATCTGGCCGAACGCCCCCTTGAGGCATACCATTGTGTAATACAATGTTCCCGACGGTTATTTGGACCTGTTCAACCATGAAGCTTTCGTGGTCTAGTGGTTATGACGCTCGCCTTGGTTCGCAAGTTCGAATCCCGTCGGAGGCATTTTATTACACAATGACTTTTTATAGGACTTTATTCGTTGAAAAGCTACAGGGTAGCCTACAATGTTCC